TGTCGATGTGGGACTGACCCAACATCTACAGGTATTTCCTCAGCTACGGGAGGCGGACGTACCGGACCGGCTCCTCCGGGTGGCCCGAAGTCGAATGCCCCATCATGGTGTTCGCCCTCGGCCTCTGCGGACTCACCGACAGCGGCGGGTGTGACTTCGTTGTCATTGTCACCTCCCTGATCTGCCTCATCGTTTGTCACCATTGCCAATACATCCGAAAAGTGCTCTTTGAGATCGTCTATCGTAGGGCGATGCCTGTTACTCCGAAGCTTACCATCACTCACGAGGTATGGGATGTCATCCTTGACCTGCAAGTGCACGAATCCCTGCTTTGGTGTAACCATGAAAGGTAGTTTACCAGGCATCCAGTGAAATGCATAACCCATTTTCATGCATCTCCTCCCCACTGACAATACCGTGGGTGTCTCATCCAATACGTGTGGCTCGACAGTCTCGTCCAATTCTTCCACGACTATCTTGGCCACATCGGACGTAGATGTGGAACCATTCGCGGTCTGGAATACGATCTCGTCATCATCTTTCACGATGTCGACGCCCAGGCTCTTCGCCTTGGCTCGTCCGATGAGATCATGACCACATCCGGTGTCCATCAACCATTTCACCCGCTTGCTGATGCACGTTGACATGGCGAAGACGTTCTTCGGCAAACCGTGCTGCTTCTTCCAGTCAACAGCCGATTCCCTGATTTCGTCCTTGCTCTGATCGTATTCGAACATTAAATTATGCTGCTCTCCTTGGTCACCGGGAAGTAGTGCTTTTTGTATATATCATCCACCACCTCTCTCAGTATTTTCGCCCTTATCAACGATCGTTGGACTTGATAGGCTGATAATTCTCGATGATCACTGCTGTTGAACTTCTTCTCGTCAACGTATACATATTGATAAGGCTCATTCTCACTGTCCTCATAACCGTACCATTCCCCTTTTCGTTCCCATTGCCTTCTCTCGTCTTCGAGGTAGGTGATCTCTCCATTCTCGTCGACGTCGAGTACTTCTTTGAACCATACCATTTTCTCGGGGATCTCGGACTCGCCAGACCATCTCGACGATTCGCTCATCGCGTCATCATCATGTTCGTGGTATATAGTCTCGGCTTCATCCGGTTCGACCTGGTCAACGTCCTTCTTGAAGCTGACCTTTCCCGCAGGAGCCGATTGCTTCAGGACTATCGCAGGCATCGCGATGGCCCTCCTTGCAATAGCTGGTGCTGCGGCCTTGGAGGCAGCCTTCGACTTGGCTTGCGCCTTGTCGCTTGACGTTGCCGGAGCTGAATTGTTCTTGATGAGCTCATGCTTGTACTTGCAAGCACTCCCCCTGTCGCACTTCCCCTTCTGAAACGCGAAGCATGCTCCATCCTCCCTCTTTGGTGACGACGACCTGGATTTGGACTTACCCTTTCCTTTCCCCTTGGGCATGTTCTCCAGCTTGTGCTCCGTCTTCTTGCTGTGGGAAAATGTGCACTCATTTCCCTTCACGCATCCCTTCGCCGATTTGAAGTGATACCAACAGGGATTATCTTTGCCTCCGCCCGGACTCTTGCCTCTGTCGCTGGCACCGTCGGACTTGCCGTTCTTGCCAGCGTGGCCCTTTGCCTTGGCTTTTGGGAGCACAGGAGCGGCATCAGGTCCACCGGGTTTCCCCTTTCTGCCCTTGCCACCCTGGCTCTCCTGCTTGCCAGTTGCTGGAGCCGCATCCTTCCCGCCTGACTTCATCATCGACTTGACCGATTTCTCCTTCATGTCGAGCATCAGGTCTTCCCGATCTGCCTTGATCTGATAGTCGATCAACGCCAATAATAATTCATACGTCTTCTGAGGATGCTTGTCCGGTAGTCTATGGTAGGCATTGAGGCCGAACTCCATCTTCTTGCTCCCTTTGATCTTCCTGTAAAGGATGTCTCTGAGAGCCAGCTTACTGGGTCTGTCCTCGCTCCTCATCTTCAGCATCAAATCATACCATTTGTTCCTGAACATGACCAAGTTCTTGTCGCCAGGAAAGTCAAGGTTGAATAGATGCTCGATGTGGTAGACAAGATCCGTTCTATCGGATGTTCTGAATGATTGCATAACCAATGCCACCAACTCTCGTCCCTTCACGATCACCCCTTGTTGATGTCGTAGTTCCGAGTGCCGCGTAGCGTCGAGGTATACGTCTTTGGCTTCGTCAGGTGCTTGTTTCAACATGTTCTGCATGCCCATGGCCATCTTAATATCTATCGTAGCAAATCTGTCGCCACCTGAATCGCTAAGCGCATTCAGGTCTGGGTTCAACCCAAGAGCCTGTTCCAACCATTTTGTCCATGTCGGTATCTGGATCTGCACATGCGCTCAGAACATTCATCAGCAGTTGCATCTTCCAGTTATCAAGTTGGTGGATCTTTGGCCAAGCCGAAATGGATACCCTCTCAGCCTCTTTCCTCGAGATCCTCGGTCTATCGTTCTTGATCTCCCGATCATCTCTCGATCTTCTTCGTCTCCTCCGTGTCCGATTGTCATCTTCTTCCTCTTCTTCTTCCTCGTCTTCTTCATCCTCTTCGTCGTCGTCGTCCTCGTCTTCATCGTCTGGTGGGTCATCCGGAGGTCCTCCTCCACCACCAGTGAGGCTCAACTGACGTCGACTTGCTCCCTGCCTATTCCCATTAGGCGAGAACCCACCGTAATCCAATGGGGGCGTAGTACCGTTGTTTCCCCCTCCGTCACCACCGCCAGTCGTAGTAGTGGATTGTGGGACATGTCCGACAACCCCTTGCATCTGGGATAGGTGTACATCGATCATTGGATCACCGAAAGACGGAAAGAGAATCGAACCTGGCATTAGTGACGAATTAGGGTTCAGATTCGAAGACGATGACGGGACTAACCCAGCCACCTTCTTGTCTACCCTATTTGAATTAGCTTGGGATCCTCCCTCAGCGCATTTCACTACTGCTCGTTCACGATGTCCATCTTTGCTGCCGGAGGCTTCCTGTGTCTCCAGCTTCTTGTGTGCACGCAGTTCCTCGTTGTCAGCATCGAGTTGACGAACAAAACTCTCTTCTTGCTTGAGCGTCGCCTCCCTTTCCTTCAGTTGTCCCTGAAGTTCATGCATCTCCTCAAGGTACTCATCGTACACTCCCTTAGCTGTCAATCTCCAGTACTCAGCCTCCTTCGATTTCTCGTCCATCGTGCACCGTTCTTCTTGTTTTGCTTCTTTGACCTGGGCTAACTCCAAGATCGCATCTTGACGATGACCGCCTTCGACAGCAATCATCTGGTCCTTCATCGACACGTCGGATTCATACTGTTTGACGATCTCTTCCTTCTCGCGAAGCAAGCAATCTGCTCTCTTTGATTCTTGTTCCGCGAATACTGTAACATCATTCAGTCTCGCCATCAGCTGGTCCCTGGAGTCCTCCATAGAGTACGTCTCGGGGCGCTTGACAAGTGCGTGTTCCAACTGTGACTTCAGACTTTGGACCATCTCCTCCTCGTTGAACTTCTCGATAGATGTAGATGATTCGATGCCTCTGATTTGTTGCTGATAAACTGATATCTGTTGTGAAGCTTCACGGTGTATCTGATTTGCACGTATAGCTGACTCCTGCGCGGCCGACTTCTCGCTTGCCATGTAGGATTTCATCACTGCAATCTCCCGCTTCTGCTCCATGATAGTTCCTTCAGCTTGTCTCATCTGTTGCATTATAATATTCGACTCCATGTCTTTCTTCTCCCCGTACTGAAATGCGATCATTTCCACCTTGCGCATCTGTTGGGCTTCTTCCTCAAACTTGCGCCATGCCTCAGCCATGTGGTGTTGGTGGTGACTCACTAGATGTCCCGACTGCTTGCTGGCAATCTCGCATCGTCTTTCCAGCTCCTGGATCCGGATGGTGCTTCCATAGTCTTCTTGATGAAGATTCGCCATTGCTGCCGACATCTCATCAAGCGTCTTCTGGTATTCCCCGATCTCCACCTCCATCTTGTTCTTTTCCCTGATCGCGGCGCGAAACTCCGCACTGATGGGTGGTTTTGATCTCCCACCCTTCGATGTCGATCTCACGCCCTTCTGCGACGTCCGTGGTGTCGCAGGCGAAGATGATGATCTTCTCGGTGGGGATTCTCTTTTCTTCGACTCCTGATGAACATCGATCTGCTTCCATGATCTTGTGGGAGTGGAAATGTCGCTGAATAGCGCGGAACCTCCGCTCCCAGGTTCATCCTGTGAATCTGCGATCATATCCATCACCGCAGGAAGAGCCATCAATCCATTGGATCCCTCTGAGCTGCTGTTCCCAAAAGTTGCAGTACTTGGGCTCGCTGAAGATGCCATTGTACTGTGTAGGTTATCGTTCCTTTATTGTCCCTGTACCCCGCAATAAACCAGCTGTCTCTCTGTCCAGTGTAGAGCTTGTAGATACGGCTGATAACCTGTCAAGAGACGGCAAGGTGACGTCCCGTGGGACGCTATGCACCGAACCCTCCAGCTGTAATACCAACCACGTGGAAAGGTGTATACGGACGATGCCGTTATAGCCGAACCCGTGTAAACGTTGTAAGGGGGAAGGAATGATAGTTACAACAGTGGTCCAGACAAATGCAGCGCAAGCGAAGTGTTTTCCGCTCGCAATGCCGATCACGTATGAATGCAGCTACACATCAGATCTTGAACCTCAATTGTGTCTTGAGCCAAATGGCGATCAATGGAACTTGGAAAGCAACACCAACACGGACCTCAGAACAGCTTCCCAATTTAGGCACGGGGCCAGGAGGGTTTTAACACACACACACACCACACACACACCACACACACACATCAACCGCGACCAACATGTGTCACGGGATAACACGCACAGAAACTGGATGTGAACAGAACATGCCGAAACATATGGGGAGTTGTAAAAACTAGGGGCCCTTTGTGCTATTTTTTAAACAAGGCGGAAGGCGGCAGCCACATGCTGACGGCAGAAACCAAACGGCGACTTCTTCTGCACCAAGCGGCTCGAAATCCGGCAGCAGCTCTAAGGATCTCGCAATGGAGGCCAGCCGCACATCCCAGCGCTGGCGCAGGTCCTAGCGAGCGGTGTCTCGGAGTCAAGCCCCATCGCTAGACACAACACACACACATTCTATATAAGTGGTTTTATATGTGGTTGTATATTAGTATGTGCATATATGGTTACGCCCCCTCCCAAAACCAAGCTTTAGACTCAGGTTAGCTGCATGTCGGCCCCACTCTCCAGGCTTCGTAGCAGCAGCCATGTCCAGAAGAGGTTGAGGGAAAAACGCAGCACCAATAATCTATTCCTGTTGTTGGATTCTGTTTCTTCTTTCTTTTGGTCCAGTGGACATGTTGCGCAAAATTTCTCAAATGTTGTGCAACATTTGGAAGATACTGCAATGGACAGCCATTGGAAGATACTGCAATGGACAGCCACGGTGAAAGTAGGATGGTTTGTTTTGGTCGAGTGGTTCTGTGGGCATGTTGGGCATCACTGCAAAGTGTTGCGCAATATTTATGAACCAAGCCAAGAGCCTCGGAAATGTTGCGCAACACGCGCTTCTTTTCCCAAACACTTTCAATTTGTTGGGGTGGCCGGGAATCAAGGTTCCCGACAAACTGTTCTGTGCGATCTGGGATCCTGCCAGAAAAACTTCAAGTTTTTCCGGAAACAAGTTTTCACACAGAGAGAAGCCCGACCTGCCCGGGTAGACCCTCGTTCTTGACGGGCGACATGACACACACTGCCCAGTTTGCAAAGGTGACTGAAGTCCAGCATGGAACCATATGTTTTCGCGCCACGGACACCTGGCGCCCGGGCGTTCATCAATTCTAGTTTATCGTGGGAAAACCAGTGTTTTGTGGCATCACAATCATGAGTTCACCACGTGCTCGCGCAGTACTTTTCCGGTACTTTTGTAGAAAAAAACCGGTCGAGAAGTTGCCTTTGGCTGTCGTTGTTTTCTGCCATACTTCGAGTGGATCGCCTGGAAGCTCGAAATACATGGCCTGCGCGGTGTTCTGAACACTTTCAAGAAACGCCATCCTTAAGAAGCAGCACAGCATGTCGCTATGAAAGCGATGCTGAAACCCCACACACAGGCCAGCCTTTTTTCACGAAGCCAACTTCAACCAAGACTTGATCATGCTGTCCGCAAAAATGGCGGCCGGAGCATATCCCTTTTCTGTTTGTTGACAGGGCCTCGAGCGCTTTATGCACACCGGGGCTTTGGAGCATGTGAGTGGGGTACCAAGACGAGGACAGCAGCTGCATGAGCACGAGCCAAATGCACAAGAGCGGATCAAACGGCCATGACACGATCTTGCCATGATACTCCTGGTACATGTCCCTAATATGAAAGCGCTTCAGTGGCTGAGGCGATGAAGAAATGCAAACATGAGCGAGCCATGAGCATATTGTCAACCGTGTGCTTTTGCCCCCCCCCGAAACAAAACCCGAACCCCCCCCCCCAAGGAACAGCATCCCCGATCATAGGTACGGTTGGCACATTGGAGATTCTCAAAAAATGGGTCAGCCACCATTGTGGGTCCATGCGCTACATGATTGTTACTGACTCAAGTCCAGAAACTGCGACCAAGCATGAATGAACAGAACCACCAAAAAAAAGAACAAAATCTGAAGAACAGCTGCCAAGACCAGCTGGCCCCGGAAGCGAGATGGCTCCTGCTGGGCGGCATCGAAGAGCTTCCGCACCAAACTGCCGTCCCGGCGGCTCACCGCCTCGTCCAAGGGCGACCACCCGGAGGAGGACCGCACTCGTGGCCTGGCGCCTGTGGTCGAAATGGGGTGTCAACAACGAGATTTGGGGGTCTCAAACAAAAAGGGGACAGGGGTACCCTAAAAAAAAGACACACCCTTCTGGACCTTCCCAGAATGGCGTTTCTTTTGCGCTCCAACAAAAACCAAGGTTTAAAAAAAGAACACACACACACACACTCCCTCATTGGGAGTTGGAGCACAACGATGCTGAATCTCAAGCACGGAGTGCGGGAACCCTGGTTGACTTTCATTGGTGTTTTGTGGGAATCCGCCACTTTTGTGGGTGACAACCTTCTATAAGTAGGACGGGCTTAATCCGAAGTCCCAAACACTACTTTCACGCGTCTAATTACATTCACACGCCTGGGCATGTGCATCCCGCCAAAAGAAAAGTTGGTGGCCTTCTGGTCTCTCTTTCAACCACCCCAAGCAGTAATCTACCACAGTGGCACTTGGAGGCCCGACTCGGGGAACACATGTATGTGGCTCGTCTTTTTTGTAGTTGGTACCCCCGTTTTTCGTGGCTCTTGAAACGAAGCAATTTTGGGGGTCCCTAAAACAAGTCACACCCATATCATATCAGTATCAACTTGAATTGGGGACATTTGGATGGACAGGGTGCTCCCCCACTGCACTGAGCAGTGCCCAAAGTCCATCGACGTTTGATTCCTCCGAAACGGGAGGGCGCACTGTCCCCATGAAATCGGCTGAACCCCCCAACCTGGTGGGGTTTGGGCACTGCTCAGTTGGTCTCCCCAGGCAAATCAAACGATGGGCATTCCCTTTGGGGTTAACTCTATTCAGGCAGCAACTTTCTGCGATCATTCCAAGACGACATACGGGACATGTCAAGCAAAGGACCTACATCATTCTCTCGTTTGGCCCCCCACATGAGCGCCCTATGCAAGAGGCAAACTAATTCTATAGCCACTATACTGAAGGGTCACATATATGGTATGTGTCCAATTTTCCCCGGGTATTGGTTTGGCGGTAAGGGAATTTTACTTTTGAAACATGAGCACCTTTGAGTTCATACTGTAAGTGGACGAAAGAAATCCTGCATCACCCAAGAAACCCTGGAATGATTCGATTCCCCTGTAAATAGCAACACATGTTATGGTTTCAACCATGGATTCAAAGTGGTGCAACATGGATTTTGCTCATCCACAGGACGTCATTCTAATCTATGTCCAAGATCCCACTTGTCGGGTTGATGACCATCCCTACCATTCTCTTGCCACAGGGTATTTGGACCGTGGAACCACATTATGGCCATGACCAATGGAGCCTCTATTTCGCAACTATCCACAGTAAGGGCAACCAACGGCCCCCCCCCGGCCCCCCTTTAATATACCCCATTTTCCCCGGGTAGTGTTTTGGGAGTAGCGTTTCTTCCTTTTACAACATGAGGACCTTTGGCCCCGGCCTTGGTGCAGCAAGCAGTCCACCACCGCTTGGTACTCCTCTGCCCGGGGCATCAGCTCCACTGCCAGCATCAAAGGAGTGACCTTCGCGCGGATGCGAGACATGTCGCGCGAGTCCGCAACCGAGGTAAGGAAAATGGGCTGGGGCTGGGGCTTCTTTGAGGGTGCGAAATTTGAAGATTGGGTTAGGAAAACCTGCCGAAATCCAACTGGCGTGCAGTGGATTTTCTCCACCCACAGTATTCTTTGGACCTCGTTGTTCAGCTTTGTGGCTTTCTGGTGGTGGAGAAAAGCTTGCCTTTGAGCAATGTAGGAAAGATCCCACCAAGGGGCCCACCCTTCCGAAATTACAAGGGACCATGACTGGTTGCCTGCCATACTGCCGGAATCTGGGATCAAACCAAACAGCCGCGCGCAACATCGGCCCGGCGGCTCCATGCACATCTTCCGCGTTGACGTCCTCAGTGCTGCCCACTTTGCAAACGATTACTTGTTTTACCTTCCCTCCACTCCCCTAAAAAAATGACATAGAACACAAAGGGGGTTTCCCCAAAAGGAGAATCCTCGAAAATGGTGGGTTTGTGGATTCCATGCTAAGCTGCAGGGCCTTCCCCATGTTGGTTTCACGAGGCATTCAACTCCCCAACTCAGGGATTCCAGATTCTTTGTTGTCTCCTGGGAGGAGACACACTTTCCGCCCCGAAAAAAAGTGAAAACAGGACATGGGAATCAGACTGAATTAAGATGTGGTTGGGGGTGGTGTGGCTTGAGAGCATGTCTCGGAAGAGTTTCATGATGGGGTGGAGTTGTTTGCTACCGTGGTTCGGGTTTAGCTGAGGTCAGTGTCGAAGCTGGTACAAACCTTCTGAGCCCTGATTTGCTATCCACAGCAAGGCTGAAGCTAACTGGAGCAGGCAAATGTTGATGATGAGTTCTGTCCCTAGAACAAGGCCTAGCATTTTGAGCTTTCTGGTTTCCAGCATTTGGCTCAAGGCACGGATTTGAAGTATATCCTGTCCCACCCGCTCTGGTTGGTTTAGGGAAGCCAAGCTGGAGCCACTTGGAGGCTGGATTCTCCCACTATCAGAATTGGGGAGCTGCCCAGAATGGATGGTTTCTCTTTGGTTCCCCTCAAACAGACCACCCAAATGGACCCCCCAAAATGATTGGGCTTGGCCTTCAAAACCCATGGACATACAAGGGATTTCCGAAGCCCGATGGGGTATGTGTCAAACTGGCGGTTCCCAGCAAAAACCTTGGTTTTACTTTGGACGTCCCTTTAAATCTACCCTCCGATCCACCTCATAGGGGGGTCCTGGAACCACTTTCCCTTTTTTGAGAGACCATTTCCCTGGTGGGTTCCATGGCAACGTGGACAGGAGGGTAACCTGAAAAGGGGTCGAAAAATAATGATAATAATAAAATGGGTGTCTTTTTTTAGGTGACCCCCCCCCAAATGGCTTCGGTTTTCCTTTTGGTTTCCCTTTAAAACAGGGGTCACTAGATTTCCCCTTCAAAAGTTGATCAATTTACTGGTGGAAACCACAAGGGATGATTGTAGGGGTCATTCCAACTCATGCCCGGCCTATTCCAACCAGCTTTAGGACGAAGTATTGGTTGTCTAGCTCCTCGAAAGAAGCATGCGATTTAGGTGAACCCCCAACATGGCTTCGGTTTTCCGTTCGGTGTCCCATACAAATCAACCAACAAGGTACCACCAAAAGACACAAACGAGCCACACCTTGACGAGGTGACGAGTCCGGACGAGTCGAAGTCTGAGGCATTGGCCGCCTGCTTCTCCAGGAGCTCCAGGATCTGATGGACGTCCCCCAGCCACACCGCTTGGTGCAGCGACCTCAGCACAGGCCACCGACGAATGCGGGTGACCGGGTTCCCCCCAAAAATGTCCGGGCTAAGTACTAGCGGGTTTCTCCCCTCATGACTGAACCTGGCCTTTAAGTGTCCCTCAACCCCTTTCGGGTTATTTAGGCATCATAGTACTTCCCCTTCTATTGCCGGTTGACAGGGAACCCTGGGGCCCCAATTGACCGGGGAGTCTTACACAATTCCGACCGGTCGGAACACCACCTCTACCAAGGGAAACTCACTCTAAATGGGCCAGACCGTGATGTTTAAAGCCAGCATAAAGGGGACATATCGGGAACCCAAAAGCGGCGGCCACGACGGTGAGGGGCAGTGAAGTTGGTCCGTTGGTTGATCGGTCGGTCGGTTCAGTCGATCAAATGGCTGGAGTGGCTCAGCTTATAAACGTCTGGAGGAAACACGTTTTCCACTTGTCGGCCAGGGCCGAATCACACCACAATATCAGCGAATGGACAAGGACTCACTCCAGTTGGCCAAGCAAGTTTCTAAGCACCAAGTTGCGCCTCACAGGTCATCTTGCGGAAAAGCAGGGCTCACGGCGTACACGGCATCCCATAGCAGGTCAATACGCTTGTTGTCAGAAAAAAGGAAAGAAAAAACACAGCCTCTCAAAGCAACCCATCATTGGGTAGAGGTGATTTTTTTGTACCCAACCAACCAACCAACCAACCCAGCCCTAGTCAAAAACACAGCCCTATACAACAAAAACGGATCCCCCAAGAGAGTCGCATTGGAATGCAACTCCCCCGAACAGTTGTTTCTCGAAATAGGGGATCCCTGAAACGGTCTGTTTCCTTTTGGTGTCCCCTTAAAACCACGCAAAGGGAGGTCCACCCTTTTGAGAAACCCCCACACAAGGGTGTTATCTGCCAAAACAGTCTTGCCACCAGCCGCTAATATCAACAAAATTCACGGTTGTACAGGGGTTGTTTGTACACACCCCCTTGGGTAAATGAACCCCCAAAGGCTTGATGATGTTCACCAAAAGGGGCTTGTAAAGTGGGGCTTGCCAAGGGTACACGCACTTTAATTAGCCATTGACCTATGAGGATCGATAGTAGCAAAGTTCGGTTTCCTCAAACTTCAGCCCGCCCAGGCTTTTGACTCCATAAACCAAACCGCACAGCACCTAGAACGACACATCCAACATTCTCGCTGCCTCAAAATCGCAGTCATCAAGTATTAAAGTTCTTGGATTTTGTGACAATGCCAACACCGCCGTATATGCTTGAGCTTAATTTGAAAGAAAATGCAACACCAAGCCCATCTTTGAGGAGCATCAAGTTTGACATATGCCTATTTGAGAAGCAAAGCCCCCTTATTGCTTTGTGCATCCGTTCCAAGTGCAAGCGGCTGGGTGCAAGTGTCAGTGCCCTCTGCAGCTGCATCTTGCTCGTCCTGCATGCAGAAAGAAGGACACACAAAACGAACAAACAAATAAGCAAACACGTCCAAGCAAGCAAACAAGCACAACCAGCACACAAATGTACACCCTCTCCGTTGGTCACATGGCTTGATTACGCGGATGCGCCCAACAAGTCTGTGACAATCACCTCCCAAGAAACTGGGCTGAGCCAACTAATTGGCTGAGTGCATAGCAACACTTCAAAACACTGGGTGCTAAACAGGGCGTCCTGTTTTGGCTTCCCTTGTGTGCGAATTTCAATATATGGTCTACAGCAACCAGAACACCTACACGATTACGATTGCCAACGACTTCAACACCTATGTGCACTAGGTTGTGGGTGTGGGGCCAGGTTGACATGCTGGGTAATTGGGGGATTTCTTACCGCCATCGAAAGGCAGATACGAACAAGAAAATCCATCAGCGTGGATAATTATTTGGAGGATTCTTTTCAAAATGGCCTATGAGCTTTGAATGCATCGTTCAGTACATTCCTTCCAATGCCATGAAGATAAAGATAATCTTCCGAGGGCGTTCTGACAAAAACAACTTCTATGAGAAGGATCAAACAAACAGGTGGCTTCAACAAATGAACACCAGAAGGAGAATGGCAAAAGGACGCCCGACCTGTCAAGGTAAAAATCGAGGCTCCCCATTTGGGAAGGTGCCAGAACGACTCGGATCCTATGTCCAAGTGGATGGCGTCCTTTTGGCTTCCCAAATCTATACCAAGGGATCCGGCTTGTTGCAACTGCAACGACCATTTGGGCATCGCGAATGGATTGTATGCCGGTGGCTTATGTTTGATTTACTCACCTTCACCTGACCGGATCTCGCTTGCTCGCCAGACCTTGCACCCTGATGTTTTTAGCTAAAACCGCACGGAAATGGAAGGATCTCTGGCCTTTGCAAACCTCCTGACCTCCAGTGCCGGCAAAGGGGACGCTTCCTTCGGGTTGATGCAATGAGCCAAAGACAAACAAAAAGAAAGAAAGAAAGAAAGACAGAAAGAAAGAAAGAAAGAAAGAAAGAAAGAAAGAAAGAAATAAATAAAGAAGTGTGGAATGAATCCGTTGAACGTGGAAACAAAGGAAGAACCATTCAACCAAGGAAGACAAAAACAACGAAGCTCACGGGCCAAAAAGGTGATGGTCTACCACCCTGGGGCCTCGTGGAGTTCAGTGGATTCCTCCAATCTGGGCTGTCCTCAGATCCGGTAAAACTGACTACTTCAGTGGGTTAGAACTGACTACTTCAGTGGGTTAAATCCCCACTAAACAAACTAAAAAGATCTAAACAGCTAAGGAACCGGATGGCTGGAAGCCACCCAAGATAGCGAGCAGAAGGGTAAAACGGAAAAACCAACCCAAAGGGACAGTTGCCAGACAATTCCCCTCCTCCGCTTCATGCGCTGCAAACCAAGCAATGCAAACAACGGGCAATCCTCGGAGTCCGGTGGCGGCAGCGGCGAGCCGTCTCTCTGCAGCGCAGCTGGCGGCGCCACGGGCGCGCTGAGCGACTGCCTTGGGGCACACGCCGGGAGATGTGGGCGTTTGGCTCAAGAAGGGAAGCGAACCTCCAAAATACATTAGGCGCGTAGCAACAATTAGGTACTAGCAATTGACAATCCTTCATTTCTCGAGAAGGGCGTTATCTTGACTTCCATCGTAAGTTGGCTTGCCTAAAACCAACAGAAACTCAAAGGCAAACCCAGCAAAAGCTGCAGCCACAATGGTTCCGAGAAAAATAAGAGTTCGTCGTCCACTTTGCGAAAATGAAGCCCAAAAAAAAAGCTTCACCCAAACAACGAAGGAACGCTTAGGGGTCAGTCTGAGACATAGCCTCGAGCCATTGGGACCCCCGGCTCTGAGGGCCCAAAGCGCCGGCCCGCCGCGCGGATCTCCATGGCAACGCATGGATGACGACAGGATCGAGTGGCTTTGCCGGATATGGTGGGTTGGCTTCAAGGGTCGGTTGGTCGGTTGGTTAGTTGGGTGTTGGGTTGGGTTGCGTTTGGGGTTGGTTTGGTTTGGGCTTGGTTTTGGTTGGCTGGTTGTCAGGGTTGTTTGGTGTTGGTTGGTGTTCACGGCAACCAAAAATCGTATTGAAGGATGCTTTTGATCAAAGGACATGCTTCAAACATCCACCCAATTCGTCGCTTTGGCGCATTGTATGCTGGGGTCTTGGCAAAAGGCTGTGTCCGGGACAGATGCCTGTTAGAGGGCGATTGCTTGATAATTCTTGCAGCATGTGGGTGTATGTGGATCCTTTTGTTGGGTCAGCCCAAGGTTGGTTCTTGCAGGTATCCTTGCTAAATACCATCCAAATGGAATTCGACCTTTTTAAGACCTCCCCAAAGAAACCGCTTGTGCTGCGGTCTGATCCAAGCTGCAAATGCCGCGGAACTGTCATCGGACAGCTAGGGCTATCACGCACCGACGTCTCTGCCGATTAACAAAGGGGAGTCTCTCCTTTTCACCAAGCAAAACGGTCCTTTTCGGCGCATAGTCAACTTCAGACATCGGCACGGCTGCAACGGGAGACATTTGTTAGTCTAGCGGAAAACTCAGGCGAAAATCACGAGGGGACCGTATGATATGGTTGCCATGCTTGTTGGGCGGCTCATCGATCCCTACCAGTCCAAAAGTCAAGGTATGTCAAGGCCAATTCTCGTCAGGGAATCTAAGTTGCCACATCCAAAATGACCAAGTTAAACGGGGCTCGACCTGGAGGGTATGACGAACAAACATAGCAATGCCATTTGTCAATCGCACTGGCCGAGGCAGCAAGATCAGACCAGAACATTGTGTGACGAGTAACATAGAAACCTACTTCCTGGTACGTATTTGGAATTCGCGCCATGAGCCAAGGCATGAAACAAGCAATCAACCACCGCTTGTCTTTGGGGTCACCGTTAAATCCCAACGGCCAAGATATACCATCCCAAAACTGGGTTGGGTTAAATTCAAAAGGAGTTCACCCTCAGGCGTCCTGCGTTGAAGCCCATGTCAAGGCAGCAAAACAACATCCGCCCCCAGCTTTCCTGTCCGTGACCTTTGCCCTCAGTGCCAGGAACTCTTGAAATTGCTTCGCCCAAATAGCGAATAAAACTCGCGGTTACGACATTGAGATTGCAGAGGTCAAGACTTGACATGTGAAAGCTGAGGGGGAGCGCAAGTAAACAAAACACCACACCCAACAAATGTCCTGAGCCCAACTTCTGTCGCATTAGGGAGCTCTCGAAGCTGGTTTGAACTTGCAACTGAATTTGATCCAACGCTGATTGTGTACGCGCTCAGAAGGCAGCCCCAATCTTTTGTCCAATACTCCCAATCTTTACTGGCCCTTCAGGCCAGCAAAGCGACAGGCCAAAGCCACAGCAAAGCGACAGTCCAGGGCATTCGCGCATTTTGCGGCTCCCTGGTGGTGCTGCCTGCAAAAGCAGATATTCCACTAGCTTGCGGGCACACCAAGTGGCTTTGCCGAACCCAGGCGTGGAAGGCCCCA